AGTTCGACCATCTTCTTCACCCAAATAGAACGCCCGGTCATTATCAATTTATCACTGCATGTGGAGTCATTGTGGACTGAAAGTTGCTCCAAATACAGCTATAATGACCGGGCGTTTTATTTGGGTGACGACGGTAGGGGCGAAGTACTTAGACACACCAAACGATGAAGTTCACCCAAGACATCGATGCATGAGGGACTGCATGTGGACTGAAAGTTGCTCCAAATACGGCTATAATGACCGGGCGTTCTATTCGGGTGAAGACCGTAGCGGCAAATACTTCTGACACCAAATAACAAAGTTTGCCCAAGAAGTCGATGCACGGGAGACAGTACCAATTGGGACACAGGCTACCACACAGTTTTACTAAACACAAGGGACACTACTGGTTTCCCCCGCACACAACACACCCTGATTATGAATGTATACAGCCTACCTTTCGGGTCCCATACAATCAAAATGAGGGTGTGTTGCGCTCGGGGGAAGACAGTAGTCTTCTGGACCCAGACTCAGGCAGCACATATCCAAGAAACAGCATTTTACATGTTCACAGAAAATGAATGGAAAAGAAAAAAAAAAAAAAAGACAGACAACCAGTTCAACATGTCAACCATTGCCATGATGACACGTCATCCCGACAGAAATGTTCATCGGGAAATGTTCGTCGGGACGAAACAAAATTCCCACAAGGAGAGTCGATGCATGAAGTCAAGTACGAGTTGGGACACGAGCTACTGCACAATTTTACTAAACACAAGGGACACCAGTCTTCTAGGCACATACTCAACCAGCCAATATTCAAGAAACAGCATTGAAAATGCCGATGCCGAAACAAGAATGTCATAGTCAGACGCTGAGGCCAATAGGTCAGCATGTGTCAGTGTCAGACTGGGAGACCTTTTCTGTTTTTTAACCTTTGAGGAAGGCTATCCCGTTTCAGCACTGAGAGGACAGTCTGCAAGTCCCATGCTGACAATTGAACTTAGGGTCATGCGGCTCATGCCCTCCTAGTTCTATGTCTGTGCTTAATAGGGAGCCCCTACCACCTCATGCGGCCCGATTGAAAAGAGACGTCCCCTCTTCGAAGCTACTCTCCTTAATTAGTTTCCCAATAACCCCCCTCCCGAGAGCCCCTCCCGGAAAGAAAGAAAGAAAGAAAAAAAGGAAAAAAAGGAAAAAAAACACCCGCACACATCGCTTTCTTAGCTGTTTCTGGGTATTATTCAGGGCACGTGCAGGAGGACAGTGGTCCTCCAACCGGTCGGCGGGGAACATCTGCTGTCGGCTGATTTGCTACCCTGTCTGACAATTGACAGACACTTAATGAAGACCCTCTCATATCCCCATATGACATTTTTCAGAACCATGCAATGGCCCTCACACATACTGTCTGAGATTCCCTTTTTTCTTTGTCTTTTTTTTTTTTTGTTCTTTTTTAAAAATCTGGACTGTTTCGTCCTTCGGGACATCCGTTAAAATTGGAACGATACAGAGAAGATTAGCATGGCCCCTGCGCAAGGATGACACGCATAAATCGAGAAATGGTCCAAATTTCAATATAAATATATATATATATGGACCATTTCTCGATTTATGCGTGTCATCCTTGCGCAGTGGCCATGCTAATCTTCTCTGTAATGTTCCAATTTTAACGGATGTCCCGAAGGACAAACCCTTTTTGTCTTTTACTTTCTTTAGGTGGAAAAAAAAGTTGTTTCATTCAAATTCATTGCCGAATCAGGAAACCGGGTCCAGCAACCCTCACATCACGTACACACCCCACGCTTCCCTTCATTATGCCCAAGTGACCCTGAGACGGCAGGATTGATTGCTTCCTGTTTCCCGGAAGGAGGATGTACCACTCCTCACCCCTGTTTCTTGTGCATCTTCTATCTTTCCAATTCAACTCTGTGTCATTCACACCCTCTTTGAAGTTTGAACTAGGGAGACAGCCATGTCACGTTGGGCCTCCTCACTCCACTGACATGGATCGATTGTCAGGGTAAAGAGTACAGCCTATGCTCTAATTCAGGCTACATTCGGGGTTTGACTGTAACTTTTTAGCTTTAACATCTCAAAGTCACCAATTAACTCTTGTGACAGTCTGAGATTCCTTCAGTTTGCTGAAGGAGTATTGACATCTGTTCAGATTCTTCAGAAACACACCCACCCACCCGCTCGCTGTCACGCACACCCACTCGCACCCACCCACCCACCCACCCACCCACCCGCTCACACGCTCATTGAGTTCCGTCATCTGGAGTCGAACTCCAGTCTGTATTTCAACAGGTCATGGGTGTACCGACTGAGTGGTAGGCTCCATCTGTTGCAATGTGACACTCACAGAATCAGCCGGAGATTTCTGCAGTTTCTGCGAATTGATGTTCTTTGTCTGATTTGCTCAAAAAGATTTCGAAGTTTTGCGTGTCATTACCGTTTTTGCCTGCGTCCGAGTATCTATATAATGCTTGGCATGCCCGCTAACTAACTCTGTTCTCGCTCTGTGTTCTGTGTCCCGGGAGGGGGAGAAGTTGGGAGAGCACTGAACAGTAAATGCGTAGAATGACAGGACTCAAACTGCATACTGGACGGACTCGGTAAGAAAGTCAGAACAGACAAAAGACCAAGCGAGCATAGATTGTGGCAAGTATCGGGTAGGGATTTTCCAGCAACTCAGGTAGGCCTAGACGAGTCGGGCGGGCTCAGAAAGGTCCGGTAGTTTCCACAGCCGTCAGGTTGGTCCAGGGCCAGTATGTAGATAGATATCAAGATAGGTAAGGGCACTGAAAGAGAACAGTAAATACGTAGAACGACAGGACTCAAACCGCACACTGGACGGACTCCATAGGAACGCCAGGACAGACAAGGACAAGCGTAGATTGTGGGAAGTATCCGGTAGGATTTTCAAGCAACTCAGGTAGGCCTAGAGGAGTCCAGCGGGCTCAGAAAGGTCCGGTAGCTGCTGCAGCCGCCGCGCTGGTCCAGGGCCAGTATGTAGATAGATATCAACGTAGGTACGGGCCCTAAAAGTAGATTGCAGACTGCGATGACGTTCCCGCCCCAAGGCAATAATTTCTCGCAGGCCTGGTGCACCAGTAGAGGCTGATGCGCTGCTGCTCTACCTCTGGCGCTGCCCTGCCTCTAGAGACAAGAATTTCTGCCAGACCTACCTCTGGCAGTAGAGGTAGTGGAGGCTTGGAGTCGTGAGTATATATGAGAGACCGTGTGCATGACGTGTATTCGTGTGCAATTATGCCTTTGCCCCCCCCCCCCCCCCCCCCCCCCCCCTTGGAGTCATGAGTGTATATCATTGAGTGTCATGAGTAGGCTGGCACATTCAACCGGCAGCCATGCTGCTTGAGAGCTTGAGGATGAGGAACAAGACCTCGATTCGCATTCTATTCCGTTCTTTGTCTCTTTTTTCCAGTGCTTCTCGAGTCGCAAAGTCTTGCATTGTCCCAAAGTTGAGTTTTGCATTGCAATTTGAGCACGATCACACTTGATCCTGGAAAGTTTAATCACCCTAATTGTCTCAGAGTCTGACCTTTCTTGTGGAAGAGAGGCGAGTTGATTGAGCTGTCCTAACCTTGACTCTGAGATAATTAGGGCAATTAAACTCGAATGAAGGCAGGAGTACCATCTTCACCCGAATAGAAAGCCCGGTCACGTATTTGGTGCACCTTTCGGTTTAGTTTCAGTGACAATGACCGAGTGTTTTAATCGGGTAGGGTGGTGGGTGTATGACGTGCTGCCCTAACCCTGATTCTGAGGAGTGCTGGACATCAATACCTTTGGATCAGAGTTGGACGGAAGGATTACCGTCGTGATGCAGTAAATCGCAGTCTCCCAGTGGGGCTGCACGCTAAGTGTTAGGCTTTGTAGTTTGTTTTGTGTTTTGAGCCCTACGGGGCTTGATCCGTTGACCCCTCACTGGGACTTTGCTCCATTTCAAAAAAACAAAAACAAAAAAAAACAAAAAAAAACGGGGAAAGGAGAGTCTGCTGATGTTCGTAGGGGAGGGGACCTGAGGGGAGACACAGGGATTGGTCCTGTTGGCATGGTCCCTGATGCTATCGGCTGTCCCCTAGCCGGTATCGCCCACCTGCAGATCGGGAGCAGCCCCCGCATGTTCTATCGTGAACACGGTTCTGGCTGCTACGGGGTTCCCTGTATGCCTACAATTAGGAGTAGTGGTAGGTAGGTAGTGTGAGGTGAAATTGAGAGAAGAATAAAGGTTTTTTTTTTATTAAAAATAAATATATAAAAAATCATGGTGTTTTGTTTGTTTTCTTTTAAATGAATCTATAGATTGATTGGAATCGAATTGATTGGAAACTTCACACCCATTTGGATGGCGCCGTACCGATGAGCGCATGCGTTAATTCGGAAGGGCACGCACGGCGCGAAGTCGGGCGCGAAACCGCCGCGCCTTTTCTCCTTTTTCGAACATATGATTCTGCGCGGGAAAGTGACGCGAGGGCAAGAAGCCCCCACACGACGCCACGCCCACGCCTATGGGTGTGGCCACACGAAGAATGGAGAAGACAAGGGGGGAGAGAGAGAGGAGAGTGGGGGACAAGGAGAGTAGGAACAACCGAATGAACAGCGCGAAGCACGACCATAAGCAAGAAAAGACAAGGGACGGAAGAGGACCCAGGAAGAGAACAAAAGCAGGAATGGAGCAATGATAGCAAGGGAGCGAGGTCAAGAGAATTTCGGCCAACTGGAGGAGAGACACGCCCAGACAGGGAGCAGGAATCGGTAAAACCTCTTATGCAACGCATCCCCACATCGCGCAAGTTCCGAAAACTCCCAAGAACGTCTACGGTAAGTTAAAACCCACTCAAGCACCACTTCCGACCCCACCTGGCGCGAGCGACAGTGGAGGGACAAGAACCCAAGCGACAGCGAAGGACATCAGCGAGAACGAAAGGGACAAGCGCTTGAGGACTCCCAGCCAGACCTGGGAATAGCAATCAGGAAGACGAGAACCACAAATCGTAGAACCAAACATTACTAGAGCTAACAGCAGATATCCAAACGCCTAGCCGACACCCAGTCACAGCACGTAGAAGAAGTACAAACCACCAACAGCACTCCGCGAACGGACCCAGATCTGCCTTTCCGCCCGTTGTTTTCGGCAGTCGCATTCCCGAGCAGCGACGATCCCCACCCTCCCGCCTCAACCTAACACCCTAGCCCCAGCCCCACGGCCGTCTACTCAATCTCCCTACCCTCTCCCCAATCAATTCCCCCGACACATCCTATCCCAACCCCCCCCCCGCCCCCCGCCAGATTCCCGCCCCTCGCCCATCGAACACACCACCAGCAAGGAACTCAGATCCGGAAGCGCAGGAAATTTAGATTATTGATTTCACTCTTTTAACATTCTTTTTAACATTATTAATAATTATTCAGTATTCAACTTTCTTCGTTTTAACATTATTATTCAGTATTCAATATTCGTTTTAGCCCTTTCAATTTTCACCACCATTTATTACACTTCATCTTCGCTCCCTTTTACGATGGCACATTTGCCGAAAAGGCATGTTGCATGCCTAATGTCAAGGATTTTTTTTCACTATTAGTAAGAACAGTCTATATTGACTTCGGTTCGGAATCCCTATCCCTCACAAAGAGGAATTGAACCACTACCCACTTGTGAGACCACCCAGGCCTTAGAACCTGCCCTAACCTCCGATTAGGATCCCACATCCTCCAGCATCTGGATTTTCCCAGCAAACACCGCTGGGCCGAAATCGAGCCCAAAGCGGGGAGGCAAACCGCCACAGATTTCCCCCCCCGTAACGGGCGACCCACCATAGGTGCTCCGCAGGTCTCGGATCCAGTCATGGCGGCAACATACGCCCAAGCCGCTCACAGAGCGTTGAATCAGCCCACGGGTGCGAACCCCGCCACCACCCTGACTTCGAGCACCCCCTCTCAGACCGCTTCGGAGGGGTCTCAACGACCTTCACCCACCTCGAAAACGCTGGGACAGAGAGCTATCGATTTCCTGATGAGCAAGACAAAAATAAAAGACGAAATCATCAAAACAAAGGAAATCATAAAAAACACAGCAGGGGAAGAAACGGAAGTGGAAATCTGGGAATATCCCAAACAGCAATTGCAATCACTGAACTAATTGTACGAAAAACACGCAGTGCTGTTTAACTTTACAAACAAGAACAGGGATCTACCCCTAAACGAAAAGAGGAAGTGGGTCAGGGATAGGTTGATAGAAATGGAAAGTGTTCCGGGTACGGAACCTGTGGTGTCCTACCACAAGAGAGGAAGATACACGGTAATGCTGCTGTGCGTTGATCCGGCATACGCACAATTTTTAACGTCCCTGGGTTCCCTGAAGTGCTTAGGGTCAGTCGTTACGATCCAATCATGGAAGCCTCCCAGAGAGCCCCAAGCCGAGGCATCCTGCCACCGTCAAACGATGCTCATAAATCATTTCTGGGTGCAGTTTGATAACCTCTCCAAAGGTCTACACAGCTTCGTACAAAAGAGGTTGCAAGAGGAATACCCCAACAATCCAATCATAGATTGGCTGCCTGCAAACCCAGAGTTCATGGGGCCGAACCATGACGCACGGGTAGCGTGTCTAGAGGTATTGTCAGGAACGCCACCTAAATTCCCTGAAGTCTGGATTTTCAGAAAAAGTGGACAAAACGAAATGTTTTTTTATCCACCAAGACCAACCTGTACTCTTTCTGCTGCAGGAACAGAGGTCACCTTGGTATGCATTGTCCGCTAACAGGGGACACAGGAAGGAAGATCACACTCAAACAGTCAATGTTGGTAGAGTGTGACACAAAGCCGGTGGTATGGTACATAAACGAAGCACAATACAGGGGGTGGATATTCGACGACAACTTAGAGAGCCCGAGATGGATCTGGGTCCTCCCGGGGGAACCCAAGTTGAAGCCAGATATCTACACCCCCTACGCCAGCCGATGGAGGGAAGTAGGGGCCAAACGGATGGAGGACAAATGCACAGGCTTTCTGACAGCACGGGTAATCAACGAGGCAAGCCTGTTAGATGAAAAACAAAGACTGGATACAATGAGAGAGTTGCACGAGATAGGGAAAAATGCAGAGAAAGCATATCTAAAGAACCAGAGAGCAAGAGTCCCAGCAGAAAACCAACAAGATTCGACCTGCTCAACACCCAGGTCTGTCGCAACCGGCGAACAGGAAGGCGGAAGTTTGCGGACAAACGGATCATCGAAACGCAAACAGGAGGACTCACCCAGTGAATCCACCACAAACGGGACCGGAAGACGGAAGCAGAATATGATAGGGCCCGCAAGCGCTCTTTCCGCCGATAGGGGCGAGGGATGCAGCAAGGGTAGTGATTAGACGCCCAACACAAAGGAAGGGTATGCAAAGGGAACAGAGGGGAACACACCAGCGGGAATGGAGGAAGATCACTCCCAGCAATCAAGCTCTGAGGACAACATGGACTGCTCACAAACAGAGGCAGACAGGGGTACCAAGAGAGCACGACCGGAAAGCGGTTCAGACGGATCATACATAGATGAACAGAATAAGGATGAGGATGAGGAGGGGGCGAACGACACAGACATGGAAGACGAGAATGACAATCAGGATCACGATTCAGACTCCCGGGCCTACGTGGAACAGTACGTGCTTTCCTTGGAACTGAACAGATCTGTGGAACTGGAAGTATGTCTGGCGCACCACAAACATCTCCGCAACCTCAGATCTGCAACCAAACGAGAGGAGGAAATCACAATGGAAAACAAATACGAGATCCTCAAAAGAGAGGAGGAGGTTAACGAATTCTATGCTGCACAATACAGCATGAAGACAAGGGTGGAAAGGAACAAAGTCAAGACAGACAACAGCAACTACAAACAGCACTTCAGTTGGCCCAAAGTCTACGTTCACCAGAAAACCGAAAGGAGGAACAAAAAACAGAAAACGGTGCTGGATTTACCTATCGAAGAAGAGGAGCAACAAGACCAAAAATCAGCAGAAGAAGAGTGGAGGACCTGAGGAGGCAAGCAGCGATCCTAGAAGCACAAGTGAACACATTGAAGGATCAGAATCGGGAACTTGACGACAACTGCCTAACCCTCAAAGACATAGCAGCGGGTGATCACAAGGAAATCGAAGTCGCAGCCCGGCTTGATGCACGTAGCAGCCCTAGAAGGCACATAATCCTACCTTACCGCTGGAACACGCGGTACGAAACTTGGGAAGTGGCATACCATAGATCTCATGCCCTGATCTCTGCCCAGGAAAAAGATATCAACCAACCGACTCTGTGGAACATCATCTCAAACAACGTGCCCACCAAAATGCACATCCTGGGCCCTAAGAAACAGGGAAGGGAGGAATGGAAGGACGAAGACGATGTGAAACAGGTGCCAGACTTGACCCTTACTGCTGAAACTAGAAGAGGCGGACAGTCTAAAAGGGGACCTTTGTTGGGTACCATGGCAAGCGGTCAAAGCCATGCCATACGGCCTGCTGGGAGGGGAGATGGCGGCTGAGAGAGCAGCACTGAGCAGCGCACTGGTCACGACCTACGGTATCTTCACCTTGGAGCCAGACTTCCTTGAGAGGAAGCTCCGGACTGACATTTTCACAGGACGGCACATAGCTACAAGGGACACCTAAAGAACCTCATCACACCAACAGTCGTAGGGTGAATCTGAGTTACAGACATGGAGGATTTGGGCAGACCCGGACAGATCCCCCATGCAATACGAAATTCACCCTCCGTAAACCGAAACCTGATCTAAAAATCATCTCATGGAATGTAAACGGTATGTTGTCTTTGCTCACAAACCAAAGGAAATGGGACAATCTAATCCATGACACCGGCTGGTTCGGGAAAACTCTGCCAGATATACTGTCTCCAAGAAACACATCTGACCACATCGGATGAACACCAAAGAGCACAGACCCAAATACTAAAAAGACTAAAACGGGCAAAGGAAACGATCTAGGCACCAGCACCACGTTCCAATTCGGTCGGACTAGCCATCCTAACCCATGCCAACTCCAGCGCGGCAACTAAGATCGCCAAAACAGCGGAGAACATAGATACAGAGGATGGCAGATGGGCAAGCCTTGACTTCCACATCTATGAAGAGAGATTCAGACTGATCATGGTATACTGCCCGAATACCCTAGCCCAACGTACACGACTAATTGAAAACATACTACCAAAATGCGACCATAGTACACAGCTTATCCTAGCAGGAGACTGGAACGCAACTTTGGACCCAGCAAAGGACCGCGTTTCAGGAAGTACACAAGGATCGGAACTGACTTAATGGAACGAGGCAACTCCTATCCATGACCTAATGCCCGAAAAAGATCTTATTGACCCGTTTCTGATCCTGTACCCAGACAGTAAGAAGTTCACCTACGTTAAAAGGAACCGAGGCCAACACATCTCGTCATCAAGAATAAATTATTTCTTAATCTCAAATGCTCTCATAGCCACTATTCATAGCATAGTGATAGGAGACATACCCTACTACTCGGGACTAGATCACAAACCAATCACACTACAAATAAAACTAGGATTGTCACCCACCAGAGACAAAAGTTTTTTCAAATTCAATAACTCGATATTAAACACCAAAGAGATAAGAGCAGTACTAGCAGCATGCATCAGCCACGACCACTCCAATCAGGATTTCCCGTACCTTGTCACAACCATTTCGGAAGCCATCGCTAGGGCTTCTCAAGTACTAGCATGAAAAAGGAAGGCGAGGGCAGAAGAGCTCTGCCAAGAAGTAAGAGTAGCAGAAAGCAATCTACAAAACACACCAGGATGCTGCCTATATGAAACAGTCCTAGAACAAGCCAGACAGGAACTCTCAGATTGGGGAGATTGGAAGAACAAGGGTCTAAGGATAGGAGCCAGAATAAAGGAATGGGAGGAGAAAAAATGACTAAGTTTTCCTTCAA